TCTATTGTTATTTTGTGCAGGAAATTCTTTATTTTGTAGAATTGTCCAAAACATTGTAGAAGTTCAACACTCTGTCTCCAGGGCCGCTAAGCATCACTAGCACCTTCCTAGTCATTGGGACTACCAAAAATGCCTCACACGGTTCCCAAAACCCCAGAATGCATTTGAGGAATGACAGTGTCCCTCTTTGACTAGCACCAGTGGAATGTATGATGCTCTGTGAGAGTTAAAATGGAAACGTGTATCATTGACCCTTTGGGGTTCCAGGAAGAGAGACTTGCACTTAAATTTTAGAGGCAATGGAGAATTATTGATGGTTTTAAAGTAGGGTAATGGCATACTTTAGTTCAATAGAAGTAAGAATATGCTGTCAGTAGAGGGGTAAGTGGGTTAGGACATGGGAAAGCTGGAAGGGAAGAAGAATTAGAGACTTCACAAAGGAAGCAGATCAGTCACGGTCAGACATATCTGGGGGTTAACTGTGTGCATGAGTGATGGATGTGTGTATGGTGTGTGTGTGTTAGAGGGAAGGAGGTGGGAGAGAGAGACAGAAAAATAGGACAGAGTTGAAGCCATGAAATCACAAGAAAACTCAAGAAGGGAGAAACAAGACAGGAGGAGTTTACAGAGATCATGAACATGGTGCTGAAACTTGATTGTGGTGAGCTGGCAAGAGAAATAAATTTGAGATGGAGGAGGGTTTGGAAGGAAAAAGAACATTTAAGGAGGCAGAGGGAAGTTTCAGTACAACATAGCACATAGGAGAGGTGGTATTAAAAAGAGGAGTATCTGACCTTCGGCGATAAGGAGGAGACACTACTGGTTTTTATTTGATAAATATCTGCTCCACAACAGCAAATGGGCCCAATCCTCTCATGACTGTTTTCTTTTTCTTTTTCTTTTATCATTCCTTCTAGGAACATCAGTTTCATGATGCTATCGTCTTACTCATTTGCTGCGTTCCGGAAAAACTGTGTGTACATTAAAATTTTATAACTTATATTCAACTTTTATAAGTTGAATTGAATTTTAAGTGCACTATGCAAGGTTTCTATTTAAAGGAACCCTTTGATGGGCCCTTTTGTAATGTGAGAAATCAATTCCAAATGTATGTGTTTTATGGTTCCAAACTCTGCATCTCTGGTTTTCTTCTCCTGGACAGCTAACTAGGTCATAGCATTCTATTCTCAGAGCCCCAGCCCCACACAAACACTAATTGGTTTTCGCATCTGAAAGGTTGTGTATCACTTTGCCATTTCTAAATTTACATGATATAATCCATGTACAAGATGGGAGACTTCAGACCTTGCGGGAGGAGCAAGTGCCACATGCTTAGTTTTCCAAATATATCTAGAGACACAAAATATTTTAAAAGAGGCAGAACTTCAGGCATGCCTTCCTCAATCTCAGACATCACCAACTTGTCATTTCAGCAAGAATGCCTGAATTCCTTCTTTTTTTTTTAATCCTCACCTGAGGATATTTTTCCCATTGATTTTTAGAGAGTGTGGAAGGGAGAGGGAGAGACAGAGAGAAACACCAACATGGGAGAGACACATCGATTGGTTGCCTCCCGCACGCCTCCGACCAGGGCCGGGAACCTGCAACCGAGGTAAATGCCCTTGACCAGAATCAAACCTGGGACCCTCAGTCCGCAGGCTGATGCTCTATCCACTGAGCTAGACTTGTTAGAGCAGAATTACTGAATTTCTATTACCTGTGGAGCAATATCTGATACATTTCCCATCTTGACATTTATTTTATAAAGGAAAATAATCATCACTAAAAGCAAATATACAAACAAACAACCAAAACCCCCCATCAAATAAAGAATTCTATAATTATAGGCTGCAAACTTCATAACCAAAGTTGTAACACATAAATGTACTGTTTTAAAGATAAGTGTTGAAGGCTCTGAGACCCGAAACTGGGAACATACATTAGTGAGAACTCCAGGCCAAATCTTGTCCTCATTTTTTTAAAGCATGATGCCAGGCTAAAAATTACACTTTGTGTGATTTTAATGAAAGTTAGAATGCCTCTTAGATCAGAGGTTACTAGTACATTGCAAGGACTTTTGGGAGAGACCGCCAGGTAATCAGCCTTCACAATGTTCTCCTTTGGTTCCAGCTGCTGTTTCACCTGGGCTCCCACTTTCCTCTTCCATTTATTCTATCAGTTGCATCCCCTTCCCACAGAGTGACTGGCAGGCTAGCAGTGTAGCATTCTCTCCTCGCATGTGTCTCATACTCGGATGTATATTGGAATCACCTGGGGAATTTAAAAGATTCTGGTGTCTGGGTGTCACCCCCATGGATTCTGGTTTAATTGGTCGTGGGCATTGGTGCCTGTAAAAGCTCCCCAGGGATTCTAATGTAAAGCCGAAGCTGAGAGCCACTGTCTTCCAGGCTGTTAAACTCCTGGCTCTGCTGGAGTTAGTTCATCAGTTCGTGCATCCTCAGGCTCTTTGACTTTAAGAACCTATTGATCTCTTGTCTCACTTGCTCTGTCTTTCATATACTACACAAGCTGAAAAGGCAGGCATGGGAGGAGTAGCTGAATTCTTTCTCTGACCCAATTCCAGAAGAAACTGGAAGAAGTCTAGCAGATATAAGTACTGGGAAAATACATCAAGTATCTGCAAAGTGCCACTTCCTGTACCAGATAAATTCTGAAAGCATAGGAGAGTCCTGGGTGAGAATTCCCACTCTGCCTCCATAATCTTAGGAAAGTTGCTTACCCTTTCTAAGCCTCAACTTCCTCATCTATAAAAATTGGAATACTGTGCTCCCTAGGGCTCACTTTGATGATTATTCAAAGTGTTTAAAATAGTACCCAGCATGCAGCAGATGCTCAATAGTGATAGCCACTTAAATGAAACAAATAGAGAAAACAGTTAAAGCTTGTTTACTGATTATGCCCCAAATTAATAATAATTATCATTTATAGAGATAATTTATCCAATTTTTTATAAAACTTAACATTTATTATATATTGGCTTTATGCCAATCACACTGCAAAGTACTAGGGATATAGTTATGAATAAAAGATATTCTTACCTTGGTGAATCTTACACCTTAGCTAAATGCTTTACATATTCTGGAGTTAATTATAAGCAGTCCAAAGACTGAGCTTGCTATAGGGAAGGTACAACTAGCAAACTGATCTTCCATGCACACTCACAGCAAATGCTTAGAATGTACCAGGTTGTTAAGAGAAATTTGAATCAAGTAGACAGACAAACACTTACTAGAGTTCCATACCAGTCGTGAAGGAGGGTATAAAATAGCTTATGAGACTATCAAAAGCTGCATCTTAAAAAATGTAATGGGTTTTCCCCACCCCATTCAAGCAGTTTTATGAGGAGTGGTAGACCTCTCTGGGTTACTGAAGGTCAGAGAATCTGTGTTCCCTCCAGCACAAACTCACCCAATTGGGATTGCTACTGTGTCTCCCATGCTGTATAGTTGTCTACGAACTGTAAGTTGTTTGACTTGCTTGTATTATAGGAACTTGTATTCTTTGCTTTGGTCTTCTGGTATCTTTCCATCGATCACTCCTGTGACAGTACTGCCTCTCCCAGTAACAATCCTGAGAGCTGGTAGGTACCTTTGCCCAAGGTCACTGAGCTGGTAAATGGTAAGGTTAAGGCTGAACCTCCGACGTGTCTGATTCCACTGCCCATCCTCTTAACCTCCGCCTCAAGCAGACAGACCTCAGCTCACTGTGCTTTGGACATATCAAAATCTGACTGTTCAGAGGATTAATTTTAAAATCACAAGCAAAGAATAAGAAGATCAGATGGAACTAGAAGACGATATTGTGACTGAAACTAATCTAATCTTGGCCTGTGAGCCCCTTATGAAATTATGTGAGAGCCTGGAATCCAATAAAGCCTTGTGTTCAGTATGCCCAGTTTTCAATCAAACTTGCTGATACTTAATCTCATGACATTCCTAGATTAAAGGCTTCATGATTCTCTTCAAAGCTGCAGCTACAACTCTTTTGTTAGACCGGGAATATAACAACTGCGGCTAAAGAGGGAACAGTAGCTGTTTGTAGATGGTGTCAGGTCCTTGCTAATCTTTCTCCACCTTAATGATAAATATTTGTACTCTGATGACAGTGTGTGTGAGTGCACATAGGTAACAGATCATGTGTAAATGCTCTGGAGTTCATGTGGAAGGACGGAGATTTTAAGCCAGTCTTTTCTGATTTTCCATGGGTTCTAGGGTATCTGTTGGGCTCACAGTGATTGCCTCTTCTGTTTCCCATCCAGAACAGGGTCCCTGGCCCCCATGTTTATATTCATGAAATATGACCATACCTCCACTTCAACCACATTTGCTTAGACCAGAGGTGGCCATTATATCCATAAAGGGCCAATCACAAACTCTAGGAACACATGAGCAAGAAATAAATGCTATGGTTATATATCCTTGAGTTTTGGCTGAATAATATTCTGTTGTATGGATACCACATTTTGTTTATTCATCTGGTGATGGATGTACGTGTTGTTTCCATCTTTTGGCTATAGTGCTGCTATAAACATTTGAATACAAGTATTTGTCTTCAATTCTAATGGGTATATATATATATATATATATATATATATACCTAGGAGTGGAGTTGCTGGGCCATGTGATAATTCTAGAATGCTGACCTTTCTATGTTCAGATCTGCAAAAAGAATTCTTAGTTCTTACATAAAGAATTCTTCATTGGATTCTGTAAGATAATCCCAGAATATTTTCAGTAATTTTCCTTTGTTGCTGTAGCTAGACAATTCTTGCTTAAGCTAGAGTTAATTGCTGTTACTTGAAACTTAGAGAACCTAAACTAATATATATATTATTAAAGAAATGGGCTCAAAAATTCCTCTTTCAGAGTTTGCCACAAGGGTGCTAAATCCCCCGTGACACTGATCAAATTGGGTGACTAACCTGATGAGATCCCGGAATCTGACTTGCCTCTCAGACTGTTGCTTAGATGACCCCTTACCTTTGGGACCAGGCGGCATAAGACCTTGCGTTTAGAGCATATTCCAATTCAAAACGACTCCTTAAAGCTGCCACATGGCTCCGGCCAGGTCCTCCTTTGCTCACCAGACAATCAGAAGAAGAGGAAGGAGAGAGAGACCCGCTGCTGTTACTCGATGCAGGAGACATCAGCTGAGTGAAGGAGGAGCAGTTTCAATTATTTAATAAATCCAAGAGGCTTAAAGGCATAGGAGAGAATATGGCTTTATTTTAACCTTCTATTCTAGGATTTCTCATATTTTAATTTTTATTCCTCTCAGCTTGCTTTTGGCTTTCCCTTTTGGCCTCTGATGGCAACATCTGGCTAGCTTACTTTACTTTTGTGACCTAGTTCTATATTGAGAGCTGGCCCATTAAATGTATGCTCATTTTCCAGAAAACAGAGTAGGCTCAAATCAGATTCATGAAATAGATATTTCAAAGGTTATTATTTAATGGTTAAAAGATTTTCTACATTTTTTACAATGGTGATAAAATTCATGGCAGAGTCCTTTAAATTGTAGCTTAAAATTACTTTTACATAAAATTATTCCCTTTGCATAAAATGAATTTACACTTTTCCAAGAATGTGTCCATTTTATAAAATGAAGAATAATGTCTGGTAAGTATGAGGACTAAATAGAGTTGTGAAAGACTTTTTAAAAATAGTTACAAATAGCCAAAACCGGTTTGGCTCAGTGGATAGAGCGTCGGCTTGCGGACTGAAGGGTCCCAGGTTCGATTCCGGTCAAGGGCATGTACCTGGGTTGCGGGCACATCCCCAGTAGGAGGTGTGCAGGAGGCAGCTGATCGATGTTTCTCTCTCCTCATTGTTTCTAACTATCTCTCTCCCTTCCTCTCTGTAAAAAATCAATAAAATATATTTAAAAAAATAGTTACAAATAGTTAAGCATAACTAGAAAACAGAAAAGTATGAGGAAAGAAAATGAGAAAGATAAGAGGAAAAATAGAAGAGTAGTTTTCTTGAGTTTTTTACAACCTTACTGCCTTGCTGTTTTTTCATTCTACCTAACCCAGCTCAGAACATTAGTGCTATTGACATTATAATTTCATAAGACATGTAGATGGTAGACTTTGGTTTAAAAAAATAACATATGTAAATTCTAGGCTCTTCATAGTAGCCGTGACATTTCTAAGTAAAGCTCTGAGAGTCATGTGATGTTGGTGTTGAAACAAACCTTCAAACTCTTCAATGATCAAATTTCTTCTGTGTATCATTTTTAAGTCAGCTTGGTAGGCTGACAGGGACCTCCAGTGATGAGGAACTCACTGTCTCCAGATTTCTTTCTTTATCTCAGGAGAGCTCTAACCATTAGAAAGCTCTTTCTCAAAATAAACCAAATCTACTTTTGCACTTCATATCCATATGTTGGCCCAAAGAAAACAAGGCCAATCCCTTAGCCATATGATAGTTCTTCAGATATTTAAAGACAGCTGTTGGGCTCATCCTAATTTTTTCTTCTCTGGGACAAGCATCCCAGCTTCCTTTAATTGGTTCTCAAATACATGATTTTCAACCTGTTCACCACTTTGATCTCTCTTTTCTAAAGTTTTTGTTCCAATTTTAATTATCTTTTTAAAAGGACATAACTGGGTATTATTTCCTTTGGCCATCTCAGAACAGAGAAGTCTCTCTCAACTTTATTTTAAATGAAGATCTGATGAGCAGTGCCTTCTTGCCCTTGGTCT